TGAGTACGAGTACCGATACTTTATTCCAAGTACTCGCCGATACCAATTACCGATACTTTTTCTTAAAGGGACAGGTCACATTTTTTCTAAAGCAATAAAAAATCATGATTTTAGAGATATCAGTAACCATACATAGACAAGTTGGAGGTGCTATGTATGTATTTCTAGGGTATAGAGTTCTTCTTGAATGCTGCTTCTATTTTGCATGATGATTCCCATCGTTCCAATCACTCCTCTCTTTTACGACCTTTGTGTCTGCAGTTATGTTTAAATGGCATTCAACCGATAAATATATAAATGTAAAAATGATAGTGAATATGCTGGAGTTTACAGCATGCAAAACAATTATGAGCGGAAGTCTCCTTGCCATGTCTTCAGTGCATTGTTAAAAGCTGCTTTTATGTAACATTAACACAACAGGGTAGCAGGTGCAATACCAAGAACTGCGTTATATTTATGTGGGCTCTTCTTCCCACTGAGATATTTAACCCTAATTAATATACTTTGGGGAAGAAACTGGCTTAGCATTCAGAGTTCTCTTCAAGAAGAGTACAGGATTGCCAGCCATTCAACAATGTACTGACAGACAGAAAATATGCAAATACTGTAATTAAAATGAACTCCAGGAAATCATCTAAATACTCAATTGAAATATATTTATAGCAGCCGTTTTATCTGACTAAGGATTTGTATTTCTGTGCATTCAGTCTTGAGATTAACACAGCTCTGCCTGACAGTGCAGCTACATTGGTGCCCTCCATTTTTATTCTCTGCCTTTAAAGCTGAACTCAAGGTTGATGCAAAATACACAATTAACGCAGCTCTTTTTATGTCAATGCATCATAATTGTTTAGGGAAGCATTTGAAATATATGTATCAGCCTTTTGAAATCTCCTATACAGCAGTGTTCAGACTGGGAAAGGGAAAAACAGCACAAGGAACCAATCAGTTGTGCTGCAGTGCTCATGTGCTAACTAGGAGCATGATGATGGGAGTTGAGAACAGAGTAAAGGTGCCCATACACCTTACGAATATCGGACAAATTTCGTTTGCGATTGCGTTTTCGTCCGATATTTGTAAGGTTGATGGGCGGTGTACAACCGCAAATACTGTACAAACGTACGACGTTTGTCTTTCCAGCAGGTTAAAAAACTTCTGTTGAATCGTACGATTTTCACAAGGTTGGTGGTGTTGCCGTACGTCACAATTCGTACGATTAACACTGCTCATGCACAAACGAAAATCTGTGCGGTCGATTAGCACAACTCATCCAGGTGATCTCTGCTAAGGGCCGCTAATTGAACCGTGTGATAATCGGGGCAGGATGGGGCCGTTCGATCCGTCCGATGATTGCAAGGTCTATGGGCACCTTAACAGGTGAGCCGATAAGGTTGCTTCTTCTCCTTTCACTGTCCAGTCACAGGCTAAGGAAAGAACAACTGTAGCAGTAAAAATAAATACATAAATCACTAATTGCTTTGCTGTTTGCAGAACTGTGTAATGTTCAGAACGGGATGGCCAGTAATACACTTCCTGCGGCATGTAAAACAGCACCAGTAAAATGTGTTTCAACTGCATTTATAGCTGGAACTCAGTTTTAAATAACAAATAGAATAATAAAAAGCAGCAGAAGACTAATGAGCTTTTCACTCTGCTCATTCTGCTGACAGCACATCTGATTGGCTCCTACTGTTGCCCCTCCCTCTTTCAGTATATATTCTACTGTACAAGGGATTACATGGAGGTTGATAATTACAATCAGGTACCTTTTGCAATTAAAGTGACATTAAAGGCAAAATCCCTCCCCAATGCTAGCGTAAGGAGTTACCTTAAATGAGGCCTCTTGATCCGATCCTCTTCTTCCTTCCAGTAGTTTTCAGGAGTCCCTCCAGCGTTGGCGGCGGTCTCTGATAAAGCGCTGACTCCTGTCTCCTCCTGTCCCACAGAGTCTGTGCGGGTGCACGCTGCTACATACCTTGTAACTTACTCTGTGTCTCTCCTCTTCTCCCGGCCGCAGATCTGTACTGCGCATGTGCCCGTCCCATGATCCTTTGTGGCCGCCCGAGAATATTCAGATCTTCGAACGAGAGCGCACGGCAGGGACACAGGTACGTTTTAACCCTTTGTAAACTTTTTAAATGCTTTTGCATATAGCAAAACTTGCTAGCAGTAGATATAAGCAAAAAAACCCGCTGAGGTTTTAAAAATCCTTTTTAACCACTTCCGGGCCGGCCGTAGTAAAAAAACGGCCGTCTCCCGACGCATGTAAACATGCGTCGGGGGGCTCATACGTGCAAAAAAGACGATTGCGCCCATTACGCCGCACATGTTACATATCGCCGCGAACGCCGCAGTGAGAGCAATAAGTCTAGGGCCATCAATCACTGATAACACTAAACTGATGAGCGGTAAAAGCTTTTAAAGTGTCGCCTATGGCCAGTTTTGGGTATGGTAGTTCTCTGCGATTTCGCGGATGCGCGCAATTTTAAAGCTTGACATGTTTGGTGTCTATTTACCCGACGTGACCCCGACTTTTATATCTTACCAAAAAACTGGGTAATAATAAATGTTTCCTAACATAATGTAAAAAAAAAAACTTTTTTTTCAGAATTTTCTGCAATTTTTCCTAATTATCATAAAAATAAAAACCCCAGTGGTGTTTAAATACCACCAAAAGAAAGCTCTATCTCTCCCCAAAAAATGGTATAAAATTCATTTCAGTACAGCGTTGCATGACGGAATAAATGTCAGTCAAAGTACCACAGCGCTGAATACTGAAAAATGGCCTGGCCAGGAAGGGGGTCTAAACACCTGGTCTTGAAGTAGTTAAATACATTTAATTATTTATTGAAGTGAATACATAACGTCAGTAATTGTTGCTGGGTTCAGCTTTAGCGCTGTATATAAAGTCAGCGGAAATAATAATAAAAAAAAAAAGAATATTTTTTTACAAAGCAAGTACAGTGTTTGCACCATGTTATTCAGATTCATGCTTTTATATATTTAGATATTTTTTGTTTTCCCAAACAGGGAAGTGTTTGATGCAAACCTGTCCAAGCATAAAAATTAGATTTCCCTTTAGGTTCCTGCAGGCAACTTTAGGGCACATGAAAATTTTAAAAGCAGAAAAGATAAGGAACAAAGTCATACACCAATGAATGGAACCTGCATTCACCTGCTTCTTTATGTCTCGCTAAATCTCCAAAGTGTGAAGAGCAATAAACATCCTAAGTCTTCTTCTGTATGTTTCCACTGTAAAGAAGAATTCCAGCCATGTTAAAAATTAACGCTTGCAGTGCTCATTTTGGTCTTGCGTGTAAAATATAGCAGATGCACCTGATCCTTGGTCCAATGACCTTCCGCTCTGGCTGTAGAATGTCTCTCGGCGTCCCCATATTCAATGCAAGTCAATGGACATAATGACATCACAGATCCTTAGACTGCTCCAAGGAGAAGAGGCTCCAGGGACTGGCCTAGCAGGCACATGTGACTGAGGATCCGGTGAGTATATCTTTTTTATTTCAGAACCTAGACCAAAATGGGCATTTAACCCTTGCAGCGCAGAGTTAGCCCTACTAAACATTTTTTACATGCCTGGAGTTCTTTTTTAAAGCCTATCACTAACCAAAACTTTTATTGTTATTTTTTAAACAGAGAAAGAGATGGAACATACCTCTATCAGTTTCCAATTTTGCTGCCTTTGACACATTGGTTAGTAGGGATGTCATTGACCAAATATGGTCATGTGGCAATATATAGCCATGATATCACCTCACCACCAATGCCCCAACCGCAGTTGTACAAACCAGCACTGACAGCTTCCTTCCAGGTTCAGATAAAATCAGATTTGGACCGTACCTGAGCTTATCCCTGTTGGGGAACTTTCTCTTTGCTTCCTGTTACAGAGACACAGGAAGCAAGAGGAATCTCTTAAATGTGAAAAAAATCGCCTCTTAGACAGTTTTAGCTGGAAAATGTGTCCCCATTGGAAGGATACCACTTACCTTCTGTAGAAGCCTTACATTTTGGATTTCCTTTCAGTAACAATGGTCAGGCAAGAAAAGAGGGTGAATATTCCCTTGTGGAATCACAGGCAAGTAATAACCTGGCCACGGGAGAAGAGAAAGGGGACCCTGCAATGTCATGTGACCGTCCAGACGAGAAATAGGAGAAAAGATATGTATCAAACATTCAGCTTCAGAATGGGGGTGCTCCATTGGGAAAGAATGATTTTACATACAATATAATATATATATATATAT